CATGCAATCTTCACTGCCCTGGTCCCCAGTGTTCCCTGAGACTTTGTCTCCTGTCTCCCCTTGGAGTGGGCAAGGCCTCTTGCCATTTTGGGAGAGCCACCCTCCGCCTCCCCCCCGGCTCACGCCCCTCAGGCTGTGCGGTCCCGACTGTCCCCGGTCCCAGCCGCAGGGGCTCCCTCTGTGCCCGCAGAGCTGTCCCTCATCACGCTGCACTGGTTCCTCACGGCCTTCGCCAGTGTGGTGCACATCAGGCCACTGCTGCGCCTATGGGACCTGTTCTTCTACGAGGGCTCACTGGTGCTGTTCCAGGCCGCGCTGGGCATGCTGCGCCTCAAGGTGCCACGCCACCTGCTTCCCAGAGGAGGGGAGCCCTGTGGGCCCGACCCAGCTGTCCTAGCGCCTCTCTGGGGGCTGCAGGGGTCCAGCCTGCAGTGCTGCGGCCTGAGCATTGGCCCCACTGAGAGGTTCCTAGGGAGGGGGACCCCTGGGACCAGGGGACTCCTTGTGCCCAGCTTGATCGGGGAAGTCACACATGCCTGAGGATGGTGGCTGGGGTCAGCTCACAGGCCTGGTGCAGCACAGTGACACCCCCGTGTCCCCATTCCCTCCCTTGCATGGCCCAGGAGGAGGAGCTGATCCAGTCAGAGAACTCAGCCTCCATCTTCAACACACTGTCAGACATACCGTCACAGATCGAGGATGCAGAGGTGCTGCTTGGGGTGGCCATGCGCCTGGCCGGCTCCCTCACCGAGGCGGCCGTGGAGACCCAGCGCCGCAAGCACCTGGCCTACCTCATCGCAGACCAGGGCCAGCTCCTGGGGACTGGCGCCGCCACCAACCTCTCCCAGGTGGGCCCCGAGGGAGGAGGCCCCACCTCACCCACAGCACGGTGGTCCCTGAAGCAGCCCTTCCCAGCTCTGCTGCTTCTGGCCAAGCTCAGCCCCCAGGGCCCAACATGGCCCAATTCAGACCACAGCTGTGGAGAATCCACCGCCTTGGCCTTCGTGCATCTCGGCTTTGAACTGTGCTGTTGGGTGTAGGACAGACCAAGCTTTGAACTGACAATACGCTTCTGACCCTCAGAGGCCCTTTCAGATGAGGGAGTACAAGTGAGGTGCCGCCCTGCCTGCAGGGAAGAGCTGTTATCCACCTCTGGTGCTCAGGTGCCCTCTGCCTGACCAGGGCTACCAGTGACTTGCTGTCCCTACCTGCAGGTGGTTCGTCGCAGGACGCAGCGGAGGAAGTCTGGCATCACCTCGCTGCTCTTCGGTGAGAACTGCCGTGGCAGCCAAGCCCTGGGCTGAGCCCAGACTTGTGGTGCTCACCGCCACGGTGAGGCGGGGGTCACAGGCCAGGGCCGTCCAGCCATGTACCCGGTGTGAATTTAGTACCTTCCTCAGAGTTGGGAGGGGGCCAGGCAGGGGCCATCGCTGCCATAGTTCTCTGGACCTCCCAGGAGAGGATGGCCTGGAGGCACTCAAGGCCAAGAACATCAAGCAGACGGGGCTGGTGGCCGACCTCCGGGAAGCCATCCTGTGCCTGGCTCGCCATTTCCAGTGCACAGACCCGAGAAACTGCAGTGTGGTGAGTCCTGGGCTCCCAGGCCTTTCACCACGCTCAGTTTGGGGTCTTTCCTTCCCCAGCCCATGCCGAGGTGGTAAGGAGGGGGTGCAGGTAGATGAGGGTTCTCAGGCTGAGGCACCTCCCTCTTGGTGAGACTTTCTGCCGCCCTGGCAGGAGCTGACCCCAGACTACAGCATGGAGAGCCACCAGCGGGACCACGAGAACTACGTGGCTTGCTTACGCAGCCACCGGCGCCGGGCCAAGGCCCTGCTGGACTTTGAGCGGCACGACGATGATGAGCTGGGCTTCCGCAAGAATGACATCATCACGGTGCGTGGGGCAGCGCCTGCCGGTCAGGAGGTGGCGCCACCTGCTGGCCCAAGGCCAAGGGCGACAACCCCTCCGAGAGCTTCCGTTGGCTGGCAGGGGGGCCAGATGGTGAGCCAGGAGCTGGGCCCAGGCATCCAGGGCCTTATTTCCTCCTCTTTTCCTCCACGCAGATCATTTCTCAGAAGGATGAGCACTGCTGGGTCGGGGAACTGAACGGCCTGAGAGGTGAGGCCTGGTCCCGCGCTCTGATGAGGAGGGGAGGCGGGCTGAGCAGGGAAGCTGGGTGCCTTTTGCCACCTCCTCTTGTTGTGTGCCCTCAGCCCCCTGGGGGGACATATTGGGACACCAGCTGTCTGCCTCACAGGGCCCTGCTTTTCCCACAGGCTGGTTTCCAGCCAAGTTTGTGGAAGTCCTGGATGAACGGAGTAAAGAGGTAAGAGGGTGCAAGCAGGGCTGTGCCCGGGAGCTGCTGCTGCCTGACCCCGGCAAGGGCCTGTGTCCCAAGCATGGGCTGGCTCATGGCGGGGGCTCTGAGGATGGGGAAAGGATGTCTGGCTGTAGGCATGGGGCAGGGCCTCTCAGACCCCATCCCCCATCATCAGTATTCCATCGCTGGGGACGACGCTGTGACAGAGGGGGTCACAGATCTTGTTCGAGGGACCCTTTGCCCGGCCCTCAAGGCCCTGTTGGAGCATGGATTGAAGAAGCCGTCCCTGCTTGGGGGCGCCTGCCACCCCTGGCTGTTTATTGAGGAGGTAAGTTGGTGGCTGGACCTTGGGTCCCTAGCCCCATCCTTTTTCCTTGGGCCCCTGGACCCCGCGGAGCAGGCGCAGGAGCCGGTAGAGTGGCAGTGAGCTCAGTTGGACCCTGTGGCTTTGACCTGGCACCTACCATCATCCCTGACACTCACAGCCACCCCCCACCCCCGCCCCCACAGGCTGCTAGCAGGGAAGTTGAGAGAGACTTCGACTCGGTGTATTCGCGACTGGTGCTGTGTAAGACATATAGGTAGGCAGGCCCCTCGATGCCCACCCTGTGTCCCCTGGGCAGCCCTGGGCAGGGAGTGGCTGGAGCCCAGCTCACTGGGGAAGCACTGGCAGCTTTGGGTCCCCTGCAGGTTGGATGAAGATGGCAAAGTCCTGACTCCAGAGGAGCTGCTCTATCGGGTAAGCAGGCTAGTGGGCAGGACAGGCCTCCTAGGTTGGCAGCTAGGGGCACTTGAGTGACAGCTATGCCCTCCCAGGCTGTGCAGTCTGTGAATGTGACCCACGACGCTGCGCACGCACAAATGGACGTCAAACTCCGCTCCCTCATCTGCGTGGGGCTGAAGTGAGTCCCTGCTGCAGGCCCCTGCCTGTCCACAGTCGGAGGAGTGGCAGGCCGGGCCGCAGGCCCAGGAGCTGGGTAGACAGAGAGAGTGGGAGGGGTGACTACAGGGGCTGTCCTCCAGCGCAAGACCAGCCATTGCTCTGTGGCCGGGGGAAGGGCAAAGGGCTCACCAGACGTGCAGCTGCCCCAAGACCCTACAGAGGGGCGCCCGCCTGAGGCTCAGACTTGAGCCAGAGTGAACGTGGTGCTGGATGTGCCTTCCAGGCTGCTCCGACCCGAGGCAGGATGGGAGGAGAAATGGTTTGCCTAGGGGCAAAGGTCCCCAAGACTAGCTGGGAATATGGCCACAGGCCCACCAGGCTGGCAAGTGTGCACCCCAATCCTGGACCAGCAGTGGATGAATCTCAGAGAGGAAAGAGCTGTGGGAGGATGGGTTGGGGGCCATGGGGAGTGGGCCGAGTGTGTCTCCCGGTGTAGAGGAGCTGGGGTAGGGCCATGCTGCGGAGCCTCAGCTGAGAGGGAGGGGGGTGGGTCAGCTGAGGAGGAGGGAAGGGACCAAGAGCCCAGGCCAGCAGGGGAGGGCAGAGCCTCCCCGTAGTCCTCGAAGGATCGGGTCCATAGCCCCATCCCTGCCTGTGCCCAGCGAGCAGGTCCTGCACCTGTGGCTGGAGGTGCTCTGCTCCAGCCTGCCGACAGTGGAGAAGTGGTACCAGCCCTGGTCCTTCCTGCGTAGCCCTGGCTGGGTCCAGATTAAGTGCGAGCTCCGGTGAGGCCCCCGCCACCCTGGGCTTCTGCAGCCCCGGCCTGGTGGCCTGGGGAGTGGGGCAGAACCGACCTGCAGGTAACTGACCTTCTTCCCTCCTCCCCTCCAGTGTTCTCTGCTGCTTCGCCTTCAGCCTCTCCCAGGACTGGGAACTACCTGCAAAGAGAGAGGTGGGTGCTTGGCCCTGGGATCTGCCTTCCCCCAGGGGCTGTGGGGGTGGGGCAGAGCACCCCATTCACTTCCTGGGACCCTGATGCTGGCATTGCTTGTAAGAACCACTGTGGCTACTGCCACCTAGGGCTTCCTGTGTTCCCCAGCACCCCCTGCCTGTGGTCCATGACAGTAAGGGGGAATGTCCCTGTGTGCAGGAGGAGAAGAAGCCCCTAAAGGAGGGCGTTCAGGACATGCTGGTGAAGCACCATCTTTTCAGCTGGGACATAGATGGGTGACGCTCTCCCGCCAGTGGCCTCGGCACACCTAGGCCTCCCCCGACCCATCGGCCATCAGCAGGGCCCTGGGCAGTCTGGACCTGCTTTGGGATGGGGTCTAAGGCAGCTCACGCCCAACGCAAGCTTACAGGGTCAGGGGAGGAGACCCACTGGAGCTCTGGGTGAGCCCCACAGTGCGGTGAGCATCCCGAAGTGCCGTCGTCGGAGGGTTGGGGGGGCCTCGCTCGTGCTCGGCCAGGGATTTTACAGGAGTCCCTGCCCAACTTCACTGTTCCTACTGACCGAAAGCCTTGTGAGGAGGTGGAGGGCCCCTTTGTCCTATTTTTGCTCAGGAAGGGAATGGCAGTGGCTGAAGTTTCCTTGACCTTTTTAGTTTGTAAATAAATTGTCTTTCTTTAAGAAAACAAACACCTCCCATCTTCTGTCCGGCCACAAGGTTCTGCCCTCCTGGAATGCACAGCCAGCCAGGCTGGGAAGGTGGGGTCCGAGTCAGTGTGACACCGGGGGCTGGAACACCTAGGACCCAGCCATGGCCCCTCTGTGTGGACTGAATAAGATGAACCGACAAAGCAATGGTTTTGTTTTTATTTTAAAAAGTCCACACATTTTCCCCACCTCTATCCCAGCACTGGTTTTGCGGGCTCCCTCCCTAATCCCCTATGAGTGACAGTGACAGGCCGGGGGGAGGCCAGGCCCCAGAGCGGTGGGGGCTGCAGTGAGGCAGCAAGACGGAATGTGGGCAGCCAGGAAGCCCCTCTGCCCTTGTCTCTGGTAAGAAGCAGGACAGGTGGGGTGTGGGGTGTCTACATGTTAAACACACGTGATGGGGCCGCGCTGAGCTGCATCCGGCCCAGGAGCAGTGGTCTTCAGGCCCTTCCCTCTGTGCACAGGATGGGAGGTGGCTGTACCTGCCTCCTATCCCCCAAAATATATGCATGTATGTATGGCGATATAGATATGTACACCTGTACAGAAAATGTTTGCCAACAGCCACTAAATGGTTACACCCCAACACTAAAATGGCAATGAGCCCCATCCCCACCCCGCTCCTAGGACGCCAGGAACCCCGGGGTCAGCATCACAGGGAGGTAGAGGCCCAGCTAGTTCCTCCCTCACAGGAAAAGGGGGGACTTGGGTCTCGCCTGCCGGAGCAGGCTGCAGGTGCTACACCTCTGACCTCATAGGAGGTGAGGTAGAATGCCTGCCCAAACCCCAAGACCCTGGGGGGAGACCCAGAGCAGCTGCTGGCAGTGTCTCTCCTTGGTGAGCCCAAGCCAGGTGTAGGGACCCCCTGCTCCAGCCTCCCAGGGAGGGAAAGCAGGGCCTGTGATTGTCAGGACGACCGCACGAGAGGCCGGGCCAGGCAGCAGAGAGCCGCGCTCCCTAGTTCCCGAGGCCCACCAGCACCGAGCACCTCGGTGCCCTCGCTCTGCAGACTGAGCTACAAGCAGGAGTCCCAGTGTAGCTGGAGGTCGTGGCCATCGAGGAAGTCCGTGGAGAAGAGGCTGGGGGCAGCGGTGCTCAGCGGAGCCAAGCTGAGTGCGGGGCCACCTGACGACAGCTCCAGCCAGTCCATGCTGTCCAGGTGGCCATCAGCCAGGTCCAGGCCCACGCTGCTAGGCTCAGCTGCAAAGTGCAATTCCGAGGTGTCCATGGGTGAGGGGGGGTGGTCCAGGATAGCAGAACTGCTCAGCATCTGGCTGTGGAGGTCGTCAATGAGGGACAGGGGCTCTGGCCCCTCGTGCCCACCAGTCAGCAGGGGCAGCCCCGTGCTGCTCTCCAGGAAGTCCTCCAGGCGCCCAGGGATGGCTGGCGAGCCCGACGGCGGCAAGGCAGCCTGTGGAAGCTCAGCAGAGGATGGGGACTGCATGGCCAGGGGTGACCCGCATGTCGAGAGAGGCTTCTCTTTCCCTGGCAGGGATGGTGGCTCCTTGAAATCTGCTGAAATTTCTGCCAAGAAAGTAAGTGAATGGATGTCAAAAACCAGGCCTGAAGAGGACTTGAAATTGGACTCTAATTTACACTGTAACTCAAACCGGGTCAAAAATCCAAATTTAGGAACTAAAACTACAAAAGTCTTAAGAGGAAATCTTCATGACAGTGGATTTGATAATGATTTCTTGGTTATGACACCAAAAACCCAGGCAACAAAAGAAAAAATAGAAATTTAAAACTTGGACATGAGCTTTTAAGGGAATGAAAAAACAGCCTGTGGAATGGGAGGAAACATTTGCAAATCACCTGACAAGTGATTCATATCCAGACATTTCTCTCAGAAGACATGGCAAGGAGCCCCACCCCCACTGTCAGGGCCTATAAGCACACGACTAATAATGTTTAGCATCTTTTCATTAGGGAAATGCAAATCAAAACTATAAACACCCCCTTTTTTGAGCTATTAATTTAAAAATTGAAGTGTCTTGGTGAAGATGTAGAGAAGTTGGAACCTTTGTGCATTGCTGGTATGAATGAAAATGGTGCAGCTGCTGTAGAAAATAGTTTTGCAGGTCCTCAAAAAATTAAATACAGAATTGCATATGATCAGCAATTCCACTTCTGGGTCTATATATCTCCAAAGTGAAACCTACTTGTATACATAACAGTAAGTTCATAACACTCATAAGAGCCAAAGGGTGGGGATGACCCAAATGCCCGTCAGTAGGTGGATGGATCAATCCAATGTGGTCCATCCATACGATGGAGTATTACTCAGCCACAAAAAAGGAAATTTTGACAGGGGCTACATGGATGAGCCTTGACCCTAGGCTCAGTGAAAGAAGCCCAGACACAAAAGGACAAATTATGATTCCACTGATCCGAGGTCCCTAGAGTCATGTTCAGAGACACAGTAGGAGAGAGGTTACTAGGGGCTGGTGGAGGTGGAAGGGGCACTAGTGTGTAATGGCTTACAAGTATCAGGATAGGAAGATGAAAAAATTGTAGAAATGGATGGTGGTGATGACTACACACCACTGTGAATATATTAATGCTGCTGAACTGTACATTTAGGAATGGTTAGAATGGCAAGTGTTACATTTTACCAGACCAGGCCTGCTCTCTGCTCTTCTAGCTCCCATCTTCCCATCCCAGCTGGACACTCACCAGATGACCAGCTTCCTCCCAGTCTTGGCCAGACAACCTGCCTGAGTGCCACCTCCAGGGACACTGCTGGGCCCACCCACCACACTCAAATGCTCCCTTCCGGCATCCTTACCACTTCTCAGTGTCCTTTTTAGGACAGGCAACACCCCCAGCCCCCTTCCTCTTCGATCTCTTCAGTGCTTGAACTTACAGGCCTGTTCCCTCCCTCTCCACTTCTAGCCCAATCTTTCTTGTCCTGGGCAGCCTTGTCCTCCCAGGTCAGGTTCCTGTCTGGACACCAGGAACTCCTCCTGGGCTTGAGACCAGCCTCTCCAGCTGCCCCTGAGCCCGCTCCCTGAAGCCCAGCAACTGCAGTGCCACCACGCTTGCTAGAAATGCACCTCAGGCCACACTGTAGACCCTGGGACCTGGGGGTCTCCCTAAGACTAGAATCAGTGGCCTGGAGAGTAACGGCAGCTACTGAGCTCTTTGAGAGAAAAGCTGCCATGTTAAAATGCACAGATCCACGGCTGAGCTCTCGCCTTCCCCTCCCCGCGGAAATAATGAAGCACTAGGAAGGAAGCTGCCACACACACTGCTGTCTTGGCTGCTGCCACCGATGACGTCCCCCTAGTCCCTGCTGAAGCCGGCCCACCTGTCCCCAAGCAGGCTGCCGTCCAGTCGCTGTCTGCCCCGCCGGGCCCCTCTCCAGCCAGCCTCAGGCAGGCACTTGCCCACAGCCCCACTGCACAGCTGGCTGAGGTCACCAACGGCCACAATGCTAACCCTTGACCAGATTGTTGGTCCTCACCTTCCCTGACTGCCCATCAGCAGCTGGTGGCCCCAGAACACCACCCTCCTGAAGGCACCCTCCCTGCCTCTGCCCACTGCTCAGCCCTGTCCCCTCTGTTCACCCAACCTTGTGGCTACCCATGCCAATCCAGATGCCAATTCTGAGTCCTGCCTTCAGCCCAGGCCTTGACTGGGCTTTCAGGTGACTTGCCTGCTGGGCTGACTTGGGACACATCTAAGCATCGGCTGAAACCCTTGGCCTCGTTCCTGGCCGCTCTCCTGTGCTCTCCCCATTCCCAATCCATGAGGAGACCCAACGGTCTCTGCAGAGCACACCCTGGCCCCACCCCCACTCCCTCCAGATCGCCATCTCCCTGCTCCTACTTTTCCAGCTGGAACAGCCTCCACGTCCCCAGAATCAAAACCTGCCCCGCCAACCTGAGTACCCGCTCCTGCTCCCTGAGCTCCGGACACACGTGCCCTGCCTACCAGCCCCACAGGCTCTGCACCAGCTCCCCCAGAATGCCATGGCTGCGGAGAGCGCTCCTTTCCCTACTTTTCACGGAACTTACTCCTCTGACACATGTTGATCTCCCGCACCAGCCTGGGAGCCCTGCAAAAGCCTACATCCGTGCTTTGCTCCCTGCCACATCCCGGCTGCAGGGCCCCATGCACAGCCCCTGACAGAGCGAATGTCAGCTGAGGACTGCAGCCCGCACTCTAGCTCAGGCCCAGCCATGGCGTACTGCTCAGCGGTCACTTCGTCCAAAGTACAACGGCTGTCACCCATTAAGTGTTCAATAACTAAACCAAAACCAATAAATCAACCAACCTAGGGCTAGAGCCAACCTACAAGGAAAGGAGGAGGTAGGGAAGGCAGCTTGGGGTGTGAGCTTTACCTCCACTCTGAATAAGAATGTCAAACAAGTCATCCATCTGCTGGCTCGAGGAACCATTCTGTGGGACAAAAACAGAAGGAAAAAAAACCGGATGACAACCTAGATGAGGAGGCCCCAGCCTGGCTCAGGGCACAGGCCCTTCCTACTTCAGAGCCCACCAGCCTGTGCATGGGCTGGGAGCCCACACTCACCCTGCTGGGTCAGGCCCCCGCTCCCCTGCCCCGAACGAGCCATCCCTACGGCCTCCCTATCCTGCCGACCCTCCAGCTGGGCTCAGCCCGGAGCAGGGAGCCCAGCCCGTAGCCCAGGCAGACACTTGCCCTTGCCCAGCCCCCGTCTACCTTCACCTGCTGTCTGGGCTGCTGGCTCACGGCCTCCTCATAGCCAGGTGGCTCCTTCTTCAGCAGAGAAGTGGGGGCCCCAAGGAGGGGCTGTGGTGGTGGGTGCTCCAGGTCCATCTGGGCTGCTGGGCCAGGGGCTGGAAAACCGGGCTGGGACAAGGGCTGGACGCATGAAGGGTGGAGCCAGAGGGTTTGGTAAGGGAAGCCAGCCTAAGGCCCAGGAGGCAAGACCAGAGGCACCTGCCTTCTGGGCCACAGCTCTGCTCTCAGAAAGCTTTCATGGAAGCTACTGGGGAGGAAGGGATATGGGATGGGAAGGCCCTGACCCCTGACCCTGAGGGTGGGGTACACAGGGTGATGGGGTGACTGGCTGCCTGGGATTTGGTACAAGCCACATGGAAGAGGGAGGGGGCCCTGGCTGATCCCCCTCCTCCCTGCCTGCCTGAGGCGGCTCAGGGGCCCTCGTCTCCCACCCTGTGGTGCCTGCTTCCTGTCACTGTCCCCACCCCAAGCCCTGCAGGGCCAGAAGAGCACACAGAGCCAAACCAAAAGCAGCCTCACCTTTGGACCAGGTTGGGTGGAGGGTCTGGGCTGTGAGGACTGTGGCAGCAGGGAGCCCGTTGTCAGTGGCACTGTGGTGGGAGCCCGCTCGTCTGTCTGAGTGGAGGGAGGGGAGTGGCGCTGACACCCAGCTCCACGCGGCAGCCTCCAGCCAGACCCTGGGCTAGAAAGCCCACAGGGGGCTTCCCTGACCCCTCACTCAGGGCTTGCTCCACTCCCACAGGGCACGGGTAGGCAGAGGGCCCTGGCCTGGGCGAGGCTGCTCCGGAACCCTCGGCCCAGGAGCAGAAATGTCTGACACTGATGGCCAGAGAGGTGGGCAGTCCCTGATGGCTCCGCTCATGGCTGCCGGGTCTTGGATAGAACCCCCTTCCCAAGTCCTAGTATCCCCCTGAACACGTCGGGATGGGCAGTCCCTCCTTTTGGAAAATTAAGGGCAGCCAGTGTAACCTGCCTGGCCTCGGGGTCCCTGGTAAACCGGGCTGTCACGCCCGCACACACCCGCCCCTAGCCCACCCCCTCCAGGTACCTGCTGGGAGCTCCCGCCAGCCAGGCCAGAGCTGTCCTCACTCTTATTGGTCTTGGTGAGGACAAGGTGGGTCCCTGTGGAGTCAGTGAGGAGGGTAGGAGGTGTGACCCCCTTGATGACGCTGGGACCCTGTGGGCCCAGAAGCAGATGGGGCACGGGGGCTGGCTCGGGCTCAGGCAACACGGCTTCCTGCTTCACCACCACGGCTGGGGGCACCAGGACACAAGCATCTACATGGTGGGCAGTGGGGGCCGCCAAGCTGGGGCTGAAGGGGTGGGTAGGGCCCGGGGTCTGCCGGCTCAGCTGGCAGCTAGAGAAGCCATTCTCCTGCTTCACTGGGGTGCCCACTGGGGCCGGGGCCGGGGCGGGCTGCTGGGCCCGCTTCTCCTGCTCCAGCTGCAGCCGGAGCCACTCCACCAGCTGCTGCTTTTGCCGGAGCATGCGCGTCAGCTCCTCGATCTGCTTGTCCTTCTCCTGCAGCATCTGGTCCTTGTCCCGTCCCTCCAGCTCCGCCCGCACCCCAGGGCTCAGGCAGCAGGATCCAGCCCGGGGGCCCTCCTCCTTTATAAGGATCTGCAGCGGTGAGGTCTGCAGCGTGAGCTGGGTCAGGGGCGATGTCACCATCTCACCAAAGGTGTCCCCGGGCGTGGAGTTCTCATCACCCGTGCTGAGCAGTGAGCGCTCTGAGGGGGTGGGAGACACAGGAGGTGTAGAGCCCGTGCTGCCAAATTTCACCACTCCGTTGCTGGTTACCGTGGCCACAACCACCTCGGCTGGGGTCAGGCCTGCCGCCACCAGGGCAGGCCCCGTGTTTAGCCGGGCTGCAGGGAAGGCTACCACCACCTCGCCAGCCTTGGGCAGGATGGAGGTGGTGGCCGGGCCCTTGGGGGCTCCGAGGGCGGGGCCGGCTTGTTCTTGGTAGGCTCGCAGGCGCTCAATCAGGTCTGTCTTGGTGCCTGAGACAGGCAGGGACCGCAACTTCAGCTCCTGCTTCAGCTCTGCCACCTGAGAAGGGGGCTGAGAGTCAGGGCAGCAGGATCCGGGCAGGAGGGTGGCCAGGGGGATGGAAAGGAGGAGCTTCTCGTCTGTCAGGCCCCAGAGAGCAAGACACGTGTCCCGGCCCGGCTCCTCCCCTTCCCTGTCCTCACCACAGCAGGGTCCTGGTTAAAATGCTCCCACCATGTCTGGGCATGGCCTCTGCTGTCCCCAGCCCCAGCATGATGCCCAGTGCTCAATAAATGCTTAACTGAAGTGACTGGATTTTACAGATGACAAAACTGAGCTCATGAAAGTAAAATCACTTCATCAAAACTTTCAAAACTACACAGTTGGTGAGTGGCAGAGCTGAGTTAAAATTCGGGTCTGAGGGATTCGGAAGCCTGTGGCCAGCTGCCCCCACAAGGGCTGTCATGGGCAAGAGGGGCCAGCCTGGTTCAGAGGACAAACTCTCAAGGGGGGATTTGGTTCACTCCTACTGATCAGGGAAGAGAGAACAGGCCAGGCCCCAGGCAGGTCCCACCCTCCAAAGCCCCGTGATATGAGTGCAATGTGTGCCCCAAGCACTGGCCTCCCTCTTCCCCAGCAGATGCACTTGGACAGCAGACTCGGTGCACTGAGCGGCGAAGTGGGAAAGTGTTCAAGGGGAGCAGTCCTGAGTGTGAACCCTAGCTCTACCACTGGCCAGATCTGTGGCCTTAGTAAAGCCCCCTTTACCCCTCAACGCCTCCACCTGCTCATCCTTAAATGGGGCAGCGCTCTAGGCTTCACACCACGGAGGCCAGGGGAGAAAAGAGTATAAAAGGGCTGAGTGAGACCCTGGGCAGACGCTGGCCAATGTTAATGGTGGTGGTGTGACAACAAGCCAGTGTCACAGATGACGAGGGCCAGGCAGGCCTTGAAAGCAAGGTCCAATCACCTCTACTAGAGAACAGAGCCAGCCATTTTCCCTAAAAACAAACACCCGACAGCCCTGTGGAGGCCAGGTCGGCAGTGGCTGGAGTCTTCCAGTGGGAAAGGGGTGCCCACTTACCTTCATGTCATCCAGGTTGGCAGGCAAAGCTCCTGGCTTGCCAGTCAATGAGGTGCTGTTCTGACGAGCCAGCCCACTGGGCACAGAGGCGCCCGAGCTCAAGCTACTATTGGCAGCAGAGAGGCTGCGCATCTGGGGGGCCCCGCTGCTTCCCAGAGCTTCGCCTGCTGGCCTGAAAGGACAGAAGCAAGCGCCATCACACACCCCATCACCCACGGCCTCAGCAGGCTGGGCAGAGGGGGCCGTGGGGCGAAGGCCCTGTGTGCAGGCCCAGACCAAAGGGGTTCCCACCACCGGCCCGCCAGTCGGGGAGCAGGGCCTCGTCACGCAGGGTGGGGTGGGGCCTCCAGGGCAGGGCGGGGCAGGCCTACTTGGGCGGGGCGGGCAGGATGGTCTGGTAGTTGTAGTGCTGCTGCTGCTGCTGGTTGAGGATCTGCAGCTGCAGGAAGAGCTGTTGCTGCTGCAGGATCTTGGCGTAGGACGAGTCCATGGGCGGCGCCCCCTTGTCCTGCTTTTGGTCCGGGGGGATGTACTGGTGGTACTTGAGCTTCTTGACCTTTGGCTTCAGCTCCTTGGCTTTCTTGCTGCGCTGCGACTTCTCACCAGCAGCCTTGGGTTGGCTTTGCTGAGGCATGGGAGGGGGGCCCATCAGCCGGCTGCCTGCCAGCGAGCAGCTTCGAGGAGTCCCGCCTGCCCGCCCAGCCCACTCTCCCCTGCGGACTACCGGACCCTCCACAAGCAGGGGCTCAGCGGCGCCCAGGAGCATGTCAGGGAGGGCGGGGCTCGGGCTGTGCACGGCCCCTTCTTCCAAGAGCTTCTAGGCTGAAGGAAAGCCAACCAAATGTAGACCTTTTTGAGCAGAGGAAACTCAAAAAGGCAAAAACAGCTGGCATATAGGCACCCTGGGTCTTTACAAAGCCCGTGTCACGCAGACCTGCAAAAACCCTGCCCAGGCAGGAACTGGCGGGTGCACCTGCACTGAGCAAAGGGAAGGCACCTGCACAAGGCTGCACAGCGTCCCTGGCCTCCCCACGCACGTGAGGGGGCTGGGCTCCACACTGGGGATTCCAAAAGCTTGTGCCCATGCCCTGGGCTCAGGGAAGGGTGGGGCTGGATGAGGGCAAGAGTCAGTAGGGAAGGACTGTGGAGAGCCTGCCAGTTTCCAAGCAGAGAATGGCAGACAGGCCCCAGTGCAGGGCTGAGGGCACGGCGGTCACAGGGAGGGAGGAGGCTGAGAGAGGGGCCTGGGGGGCACCCACAGAAAGGGAGAAGGCCGGGGGCACCACCCAAGGGGTCCAGAGGTGGCTGGGGGCCCGGCTTGGAGTCTGGAAGCCTGGATGGAGCAGTGCACGGGCAGCTGCCTGCAGGGGCTGAGGCGCGGCCGGAGAGAGGCAGGAAGGGCAGACAGACAGACATACATACATACATATATATATATATACACACACACACACACACACACACACACATTATTCTTTGAAACGTGTGGTGGGCAAAGGCAGGCACCAGTTGTGTGACCAAATAAGTTTGAAGGAGGAATTTGGAGTGAAAAACTGCTGACATCTGTGGCCAGTCAGGAACAGAGGCAAGAGAGGTGCCCCTGCTGAGGGAGTGGCTCGGGGCTCTAGGCCTGGTGACCCTGGGACTGTGCAGGGCCAAGGGGTCTCAAGGGCTGGTGCAAGAGAGTCGGGTGTGGGGTCAGGGGTGCCACGCGGGAGGGCTGCCCCAGGCTGCAAGCAGCAGGACAGGAGCACGGTGGGCGTGTGCAGGCAGGGGCAGGGGCGGCCAGCGGGGGAGATGAGACAGGGAGGCAAGTGGGGGCGGGAAGGACAGAGGGCAGCAGCCCCGAGCTGCTCCACCGGGCACAGACAGCCGGGCATGGCTCCTGGTGCTGCCGAGCTTTGTGAGCCTCGGCGCCAGCACTGTGTGCCCACCCCAAGGGCCCCAGCACACGTCTTGTGGGGTGGGTGGCAAACCTTGCCCCTTCAGGTATTGCAGGTCAAGCCTGAAATGTTCTCCAGGAGGAGAATAAAAACAAGTGTGTGACTTTGGGTCCTTTGCTCCACTTGGGCTTTGTCGCTGGCAGACCAGGGCTCTATCACTGCCTCGCTAGGCTGCGAATGGCCCGGAGGGGTGTGCTTTCACAGGGAGGGTGGGAGTAAGACCCCAGGAGGCCGAGTCCAGAGCCTGGCACACAGCACCTGGTAAGTGGTGGCTGTGACTGAGACAACCAGTGTTCACAGAGACCAGAACTCCCATATTACCTCGATGACCTTCAGGGGTCTCCCGGTACCCCCTCTGGGCTCAGAGGGACATGGGGAGGAGAGCAGAAGGCCAGGGGCTGGGGAACTGTACCTTAATGAGCGTGGGGGCGGGCTTGGCAGTGGGGGCCACGGTTCCGTTGGCGAGGTTGGGGGGCAGAGGAGGCTGCTCTGCCAGAAGCGTCTCTCCGGAATCCGCGCCCACGGGGGGTTGAGACACGACCTGGGAGAGAAGGGGGAAGTGAGGACACCCTCTCTGGCTGCTCCAGAGGGCATGGCCACCTCCAGGTGGCAGTACCCATCTCTGCCCTGACTGGGGGCGGGGGCAGGGGTGGGGGTGGGGGGGGCAGTCACTCCTGGAACGCCGTCACTGCCAGGGGGTGAACGATGGACAAAGACCCCGGGGTTGACAAGAGCAGCCCTCAGGGTGGCAGAGGCAGCAGGGCTGGAGAAAGGGAGGCAGAGTGCAGTGAAGAGCCTCACACAGGAAAAGCAGGCAGTTCTGAGTGGGCGTGGGCCAGGCCACGGAGGCTTCCGGATCTCACCACGTGGCTGCCAGCCCACAGGTACCACATGGTACTGCAGCCTGGCCGAAAAGTCCCACTGCCAACACCTCCTGCTCCACCACCAAGGCTCAAGCAGCTGGCGGCTCCAAGCCACCCGGGCAGCTCCCCAGCTTCCTGGCCCACCTGACACAAGTCAAAAACCACTCTAGGCAATACAAGCAAGTCCCAGTGTCCGGGGCAGGAACTCACCTGAGTGGGGGATACAGAGGAGGCACTGGGCAGTGGCTCGCTGACCCGGGCTTCCAGGGGTGATGGCACTGAGCCCTGGGACTCATGGCTGGCAGGCTGCTCAGGGGATAAGGCATCGCTGCTGTCCTCATCGAAGGAAGAGCTATCCGCCACTTTCGGGTAATTCACCTGGCCCACTGAAAGCCAATGCCAGCATGAGACTCCAACTCTGGCCCCAGGAAGTGGGGAGCCAGGCCATCCCGGCAAGGGGCCCAGGCCTTGGCTCCCACGCCCCACAAGGCAGACAGGAGAAGGAAGGCAAGCAGCCAACCTGCCTTCTGGGTCCTAAGACAAGCTCTTCATCAGGATCCAAAACATAGGCCAGGAAGAGTCCCTCCCACCAGGCTGCCAACGGGGCCCCCTGGGTGAGGAAAGCCCAACCTTTATTCAGTCTCCTGCTTTTAACTCTACGCTGCATCAACCTTCCAAGTCGGGTTCCATCCTCCCTCCCTCCCTCCAGCCCAAGGCCTCCATCGGATCTACTGCCTGCTGGGAAAGGTACTTTCATTCACCCCAAAGCTGCACAAAGCTCTGCCCTTCCCCTAGAGGCCTCGGACCCTACCAGGAGGGACCTTGGGAGCACAGGTAACAGCCCCTCCTGGGCACCTAACTCCCCGCAGGCTGAGGAGGCCCCCCCCAGAAAAGGACCCCCAAGTTGCACAGGTGAAAGGGCCCCTGGGAGTATGGTGGCCTCCCTTTACTGACTTCCAGAGAGAGATCCAAGACGTGGTGGCAGCAGCCACCAGAAGAAACAACCCTGCTGGTCATAACCGCCCTGTTCTGCCCACCATCCCGGCAGGGATGGCCACGAGGGTATGAACACCTGGGGCCACTGGGGACAGGCTGGAGGGAGAGGCAGGAGGAACACGGTCCCAGTACAGGGACCCCAGGACACAGAAGGAAGGAAGGATGGGAACAGGGGCAGGAAAAGAGATTTCAGAAGACTGATGTCACAAGCACCCCGTGAGCATTGACGGGGAAGATGTTCCCCAGGGTTCTGCTGTCTGAGCAGGAGAAGCTGAGGCTCAGGGGTGAGCTGTCAGGCGCATGCAGGGAGGTCTGCTGTGGGGCCCACCTCAAGGAGGACCAAAAGCAGGCTGGGAACGTGCTGACTGTCCAGGGCAGGGACCTGAGGCCCTCTCCTCCCCTGGACCAGGGGAGGAGGCCCCTGAGCCGGTGCCTCACTAGCCACCTGCAGCAGCAGAGCCAGCCATGTCCATGGCTGGGCTTGCTTCTGTGCCCAGCAAGGCTGGCTCACACACTCCCCTCACCTGTGCATGCAGCGCACGGAGGGGATGGAGCTCGCTGATGACCGTGAACTTCATGCCAGGCACGCATCTAGACTGCCGCCCTCCGCCTCTCACTTATAGCAGCCACAGGGCACCCAGCACTGGGTGGTGGAATCCAGGATGGAGGAGCTGCTGCGCCACCCTGGGGTCAGCCCAACCCGAGGCAGCTGCTGGCTGTCCTGGAGGAGCCCCAGGACCAGTGCGGGCCAGGCAGGGCTGGAAGGTGTGATGGGGTCCCTACCCACTGAGAGTTTACGGCCCTGGAGCACAGTAAATGCTCTGCTAGAGGGAAACAAGGCCGTTGGAGAGACTCAGGGAAGTCGCCCTGTAGGAGAGGCTTTGACCTGAGCCTTACAGATCACCTGGCAGTGGCCGGGAGGAAAGGGTGTGCGTGTGTGTGCATGTGGGTTCGTGTATGCCGCGTGTGACCGGGGGTGGGGAGGTGGGGGAGGTGGGGGTAAGCCGCCCAGACCACCCCTCCCCCATTCTCAGCGGCCTCAGCAGGGTCGGCTCCGCCTCCCAAATCTCACCTCCACCTCAGCCTCTCCCGACCCCTGCCTCTCACCCCAAGAATCTGTCCCGTTTTTTCCAGCCTCCAAGTCCTTCCTAACCCCTCACCCTTCCCTCTCCACTCGTCATCTGAACAAATGGGCTGCACGGGCCGTCACCACTTCCTTACCTGCTAGTCATTCCCCAACCCGCATAATCTGCCTTTTGCCAGCAAAGCTCCCTTCTCTCAGGTCCCCGATGATTACCTCCTTGGCAAACAACTAACCCCAGTCCTCCCCAGGCCGTGCTCGGCCCGGCCCCCAGGCCGCTGCCCGCACTGTTCCCTCTGCCTGGAATGTGCGCCTGTACCTTCTCCACTTGGCAAGCTGACTCAACCTCCAAGCGGACCCAAATGTGCCGTATTGTCTGTGGCACTTCTCCAGCCCAGCCGCTGCCCCCATCCCTGAGAGAAGCCCATCACGGCTGAGCTCCCACTGCATCTACACACATACACGGGTTATTCTCTGCTGTCTGCTAAGCAATTGCCAGTCAGTTTATCTGTAACATGACTGCTAACAGCGCAGCACTTCCATGAGTCCCCAGGTACCAAGGACTGCGGAGGCTCTTTATAACCGTGTGGCCTGGGAGCCTGCACCCCACCAGCCAGGTGACTCTGCTATGACGTCATGGGGCTGAGGCCTTCCTGCTGCACACCACTGGCATCTGACCAGGAGCCAGGCCCAGACGTCCTCATTTACGCATTAGTCTCTTCCTTTGGGCTCAAATTTTGGGGTCAGCATCACAATTTGTTCATATTTGTAGCTGCAGGGATTCATACAGGGCCAGGCATGTTCCCGACTCGGCAAACATCACATTTTTGGATGGCTGGGGAGTCCAGAACTGACCTTGGCCCACACACTGGCCTGTAACTAGGGGCTGCTGTGGCATCTGGTGATGGTCTGGGAAGAACTCTGAGCTGAGGCAGGATGAAGTCCAGGGCAAAGTGGTGAACTGAAAGGGCTCCAGCACCAAATGGACAGAGGGTCCAGGGTGTGGGCCTCCAGCGTGGTGGCTGCCTGCTGTGCTGTGGCACCACCATGCACAGTACAGGTGAGGCCCTAGGAACTGGTCCCCCTACCCAGGGCTCAGGGCCCAGTGTGGCATGCCTTGGGGTCTGCTCCTGTGGGTCCCCTCTCATATTCTGCCCAACATCTGACTCCTGGGGATGGTGGGAGCTAAGTGTCCCCCTCTGAAGGTGCAGCTACTTCCTGGGGGCAGGAGCACACAGCTGCCCTGCAGCAAAGGAGATATGCCTGTACCAACAATCACGAAAACTGAGAGGAATCGTGCACAGCTGACTATGGCACACGAGGCCCTGCGTGCCCTGGGCTCAGCCCACCTCCCACTCCATGACTTGACACCCTCTCTTCCTGGCTCCACACTGCTGGGCTGGCTTGTGTGGCCTTCCTCGGTGCCCAGAGTGGCCTGTGCTCCCTCCTTCACAGCTTCTGCCTGTCCGGCTATTGCCTATTTACGTGCCTGTGTAGCTCCCAGGTATGAGGCTTGCTCTACCTTGTGGGGCTGTGGCTCTCGCCCCAGCACACTGCTTGGATCAATCAGTACTGGTTGAGTGATATGTCTATGGAAAGAGATTTCACTACTCAAAAGAAACGGTGAGGTAAAGATTTCTAATCCTTGGCATCTCTCCATGTTCACACACACAGACACTAACATCCGCCTACCCTGTGAGAGAGGGATAAGCCCCTGAGTTCAGGAGAGATGAGGGTGGACAGAGGCCTGCCTGTTATTCACTTAGCCATCTGTCATGGCGCGGATCCTCAAGGCACCGGGACTGTGATCCCCCTGGTCTAAGCAGGAAGTCAGAGAGCAAGAAGCCCAGAGCTCCTTCCCTCTGCAGGTCCACACAGAGGGCCGGGGCCTCCTCACCGATGATGGCCTCTTTCAAGCTGGACTCCACAGGCAGGATATTCTTCTCCACCAGCTCCATGGGACCAGGCCTCTGTGCAATCTTCTCATTGAGGTCATCAGCCAGTCTGGCTCTCTTCAGCTTTAGCTGCTTGGCCTGGAGCGAAGGCTCTGCCGAGGTCTCTGCCCGTGGGAGAGAATGGAGCGCAGCAGGATGTAGGGAGGGACATGCTTCTACCCTAGGCCCCCCAGGGCAGCTCCCCCCTTCCCTTTGGGGAAGGAGCAGAGACCATCAGAATGCAAAGTGCATCCCACACAGAGTGGTATCCCAGCTTGAAGTTTTGCGAGGACAGAGGAAGGGGCTGTGTGGTCAGCCTGGGGTCCATTAAGCAGTGGCCACCAGGCCCAGGCTGCCCACGGGAACCCTGAGATGAGACTGCAGGCGTGCCAGATGACAGTGCCTTCACCTTCCTTCCAGCTCCCTGTGTTATGGGGGCAATTCCCCTCCCTGCTCTGTGTCTCAGTGTTCTGCATCCAAGTCCTCTTCCAACCCCAAAGCTGGTTCAAAACTAAACAAAAAATGGCTTGATTCACACCACTTTCAGCAACCAAACTCTTTCTTTCACTAGCACATGGAAAGAATGTGTGCTGGGGTGACAGCAGCCCATCTTGCATGTCACAGATGCTCAAGTAAATGCTGAGTGAATCAATGAATGAATGAAAACAGAAAGTAAGCACATTTAAAAACTGGTTTAAGAGGAAAGGATTTCACACCAAAGGATGATGAGATCAGGGCTACCACATGGCCATAGGAGATAAAGGCAAGCCAGTCCGAGAGAACGTGACTGGGTCTCCCTGGGAAGCCCACGAGTGGAGGCCGCCACAGCACTGCTGCTGTGCTGTGCGAGGGCTCTGGCTTACCCATGCTAACAGAAATGGGCATTGAGAATAAAAAGGAAAGAAGAAACGTGGGAGGTGCAGTGCTGAAAACACAGTGAGAACAAGGGTTGAGATAAAGAAGCATTTCCAATCTAACACACCTTCCAAAATGTGCATCCTGACCAGCTCCGATCTCTCCGGCCGGGAACGAATCTTCCGTTTCAGGTAGTCCTCTGTCTATAGAAAAAAACCGCAACAAAGCTCTCAAAATCCAGGTTATGAACTTATGGCACAAACAGGATCAAAAGGCAGCTGTGGCTTTAGTGGCTGCTGGTGGTCACCTCTGCAGCCCCCAGGATCTTAGCTTGGAGACTACAGTGTTCAGAGGTGAGGGGAGCCCTGGGGAGACCGCATTCACCTCCAAGGTACCTGTCAAGGCCACTCTCCACCTGTCAATACCATTTGTCTCTCTGAGGCTGGATACTAATATATTTTTTAAAAATCAGTTACTTCCACTATCATAAAAATATTTGTTAACTAAAGAAAATTTAGAAAATTGCGAAGTAGAACTATAATAAAAAATTTTAGTCATCCACTGTATTTTAGGATATTTGTTTCTAATCATGCTTCCATGCAGATGTCCAATTTTGCAGCGTTGTAATTGTACTGAATGTAATTTTATATATTGTTTCAAAAATCTTAGCATTGCATGATCTCCTGATTTCTGCATTAATGAGACTCCAGGCAAACTAAACCATTCCCTTAACAGTCCCAGAGCCACCCCACTGCCCAGTGCTCATGTTATAATGTATAATATTACCCCAGATCTGTCTGCCTTCAGAGCCTATGCTCTTAACCTCTGCACTAGAATTTCACAAACCGTATATCAAGATCATTAGTGGGTTAAAACCAGCAGAGGTCAGGACAAGACAGGGCAGGACAAGGTAGAATAGTGTAGAACAGAAAAGAAAATATCAGAGCACATTGCATGTAATAAAGGTAAAGACTTGGTCTGTGCACTGGCCTTGGCCCTTGTCTGCAGACTCACTGGGCAGTTCTGGGCCAGCCCTAGGCCAGCATGCAGCTCTCCAGGAGACAGTTTAAAGCAGCTGTGGGCTCTGAGTCTGCCACCCATCTGCAGTGGGCGGAAGTACTACCATGGCTGTTACAGAAGATGGAGGACTGGTGTCAGGCACTGCAGGTCTCCATGACGCCGGAGGTAGGCTTATTTTCTAGGACATCTGAAGTTCTGAACAGTGACCAAGCAATGATCAAGAAAATGCCTGGAGTCTCAGGCTACGGTTTGAGTCCCAGCTTTGCCACTTACTAACTGGACACATTAACTAACCTCTCCCTCTCTTAAATGCACCAAGAAATGAAGATGATACCACCTAGTTCATAAGGGCTGATGTGAACGTAAGAAAATGATACAATTTTGCATATAAAAGTGCTTAATACAACAACAGCTATTCTAATTAGTCATATTTAACCCTGGCCCACTTGAGCAGCAGTCCAGGAAATAACGCCAGGTCTCAGGACGGATGGAGGGGGGCATGGGCAGCACCAGCTTTTTCTCTAATACTCCTGAACTACTACAACAATGCCATGTGTCACTGCTCTGATTCTCAGTACCCAGGACCTAGTTCTTCCCAATGAATTAATCATGATTTTCCTTAGAAATTTTTAAAAAGTAAAATATGACAGTAAGAAAAGTCCTGGAGGTAAATACACAGTCTCTGAAAGAGCTGTGGGTCTGAGGGAGTCATGGCCCTGATCCACCATTTGGGGAAGTTCTCCTTCCTTGTCTTTTATGTAAAAGAAAAAAGTGAAGGGGGTGGAAGGGGAAGTGTGTTCTGGTGACTTCCCCAACTCTGCCCACACTGAGCAGAATATCCCAGAGAGAACTGAAACTAAGGGGGACAGGGCAGCAGGCCAGGTGCTGCACATGAACCTGGGCTCGGAGCAGGGCCCTGCCTCTGCTTCCACAGTCTCACGGACACCGGCAAGGCTTCCTGCCCCTTAGAATGCCAATCCTGGAGAGGTGTGGGCCATGCCGCTGTGCACATGGAGGGGCCACCCTGCAAGCTTTCCCATGGCTGGTGTTCGTGCCTCGTGCCTATAAAAGGTCATGTGGGATTAAAGATGGGAACATACTAGCAGTCTGCAAAGCAACAGCAGGTGGGGGTCATCACACACCCTCCACGTGGTGAAGGAGAAAACGCATTCTGTTCGTGCTCCACGTCATTGGGCTGGGAGATGGCTGGCAGTGGGGATGAAGGAAAAAGGGAGAGCTTTCTGTGAGAACTGTGAGGCAAGGGCCAAGCCTAGAAGGCATACAACCAGCAATGCAAAGGGCTCTGACAATGCTCTTTGGAGCTGCCTGGGGAAAAAAGGTGCCTTACCCTGGCCCGCTCCAAGCTCCTTCTCTGCTCATGAAATGCAGCTGGACTTTTCAAAGCTGTTGGGAAAAGAACCACAAAAGAATTACTTTACAGTGAAACATCAGGTCCTACTGCTACAGTTTATAGTTGGAGGAACACCCTATTTAAGCTCATCGTTGCAGTGCTATTAATAACAGCTGAGGTGAAGAAGAAACTGGCCCCTGAGTGTATATGTCTTTATGGTCCAGCTACCCCATTAAAGCAATTTTGGTTAAAGCATACCCTGATCCACTGTGGAATGCGACTTTAAAGAATCTCCCAGACCTGTACTAGACTGCTGGCTGCATGGTCCTTACTGATCAGTCAGCCCCCTAAGAATGGCTGGTGGGCCCCACCTTACTCTGGGGAAATGGCCTCACAGGGAGGAACAGAGCTGTGTGTTGGGTCCACTTACTTCTCCAGCCTCTTCAGAAATCACAAAGTGGCCAAACTGCTGGACTGGGACAGTTAAACCAAAAAGAGAGATGGCTACTCAGGTGCCAGTTCCTTCCTTCCTTCAGCTGATATTAACGGGATGCTAAAATTACCTGGAATTTCATCTCTAAGGCCTAAAAGAACATCACAGTGATGATACGGCTGACCCTGGTGCACAAACCAGCAGCTGACAAGAAGGGCTGGCTGCGGCCCATCGGATACTCAGCTCTGGGCTGGGGCTACTACCACAAAGACCATAGCTCTCAACTCAGCAAGCAAGACCAAACCAGGACCCTCCACAAATCCGGCACAAGCTCTGTGTCAGATACTTGGCTGTAAGGACAAATGATGAACTGGGACACTCTAAGCGACAGGGGAAAGGGCCTGACTCACTGCAAGTAGGAACAGCAGCAATAAGAGAGGAATTTTCAAGACAGTGGTCACTTTCACTTCTGCAACCTACACTTTCAGAACAGCTGCCAAACCGTCTGTGGAGATAAGTTTTGCTCGGCTGCTGGCTGTGGGAGGAGTGCAGGGGTAAGGAGGTGCTAAAAGTAGCAAGAGTATAGATATGACCCTATCCTGCCTGGGCCTTTGTGTTTCCTCCCCCATCCCACCCGTGGGGCAGGGCCTCAGCAACAAAAACCCAGAAGAATGCTTCAAATGTCCCAGCAGGACTTACTTAGGGAAAAAAATACATATTTTTTTTTAAGTTTTAGAATAAAAAAGAACAAGTTTTAAAAGACCAGTTGAGAGCCCACCCCATCGTCTAACAGCAGGGGGAGCTCTAGATTTAAAAAACAATCTCTAAGAAAAATCCAGCGCAGTCTCCCTCCCCACCGCCCAAAGCGTTCCAGGGCCTGCCCAGGCTGTCCCAGCTCTAACTGCGGGAGGTCCTGCACGGCTCGGTGAGGAAACAGACAGCCTCTGCACCTGCTTTTAATACGTAAAGGTGGTTCGACTCCGAAGTTGGTCTCCAAAGGCCGAGACCCGCCGGATCTGTACTGGCTGTGTCAGATTAGCAGGAAATGGGCATGCAGCCTGGCTCTGGGAGCGCCTATCACATGGATGGGCTGCTAAGTACAAAGGCTCAAAGAGAAAACTCAGCTGCCACCCTACCCCACCCTTCCAGCTTCCTCCCTGCCTTCCTTTTCTCCACAGCATTCATCACTGTCTGCCATTCTTTACAAAACTATGGATCTTTTTAATTTGTTTACTGTCAGCTTCCTACTATTAGGATAAGGTCCATCAGGGAGGGCATGGCTGGGGTTTGTTTCCTTCTCTTTCATTTCTGATAGTATCCCCAGTGCGTCAAGTCCCCAGAACATAGTCTCTTTGATGTATTACTGAATATTATGTAAGAAAAGGATACAAAGTGTACACTAATGGCAGGAAAAATAGAAGATTCTTTGTAGAGCTCAAAACGTTCATTTGAACAGCTGGAATTATGGCTGTCATCTGGGTTCAAAACTTCACAGAAGTCCTAGATAGCAAATCAAGGCATTTATGGTCTTTTCCGGGGTCCTACCAATTACTACTGGTGTGACACCAGGTATGACTGCTGGCTCTATGTCTCATTTTCTTCTCCTGCAGAGTAAGAATCTGCCCACCTTCCAGAACTCCTGTTAAGAATCAAATGTCAGCAAAAGTGCTCTGGCTCAAGTGGTGCAACTGGTGAACTTCAGGTGCTGCCGGCGTCAAACGCAGCGCTTTGGTTGAATCATGAGTTCGATTCCCGCACTGGCCAGCTAGTTTTGATACCTCAGCCACAGATTTTCTGTCTAAAACCCTAGCTGGCTTGCTGCCTCGACAACCTACATTGGCTACCCCAAGGGATACGGACACAAATCCAACTTCTGGAAAAACAATTCACAAAGCACAGAATTTCTTGATGGAAGGGAGTGTATCATCTTCAGGTACAACAAGGATGCTGCACCAATGGGGACAGATGACAGAGGAACCCACTGTAGCATATGTGACTTTCTGTTTGGTGGAACCATTCATGTAATAGTAAGGGATTATTATTTATTGAGTGCCTACTTATACAGCAGGCACTGTTCTAGACATTTTAACCATGTTATCTAATTTAATATTTCTACTGATTCCATTTGGTAGGTAATATTCCATTTTACAGAAAGGAAAGGCTCAGAAATTTGCTCTTACAGCCAATGGCACCCTCAAGTAAGAGTTCTTTCTGTTCTTCTGGGTTGGTTTCTTCAAAAGACAGACAATGACCCTGTAGGGATGGGGAGACAAGGAGGCTTCAAGGACACATACTGCTGAGATAGAGGGCCAAGTGCAGGCTATGCAGGAAGGTCAGCCTGACCATTCTGCTGGGCACAAACAGGGGAAGGGAAGGCTCAGAAGAGCGGCTCAAGGGGCAGCCTTCAGCACTGACACCAGGAGGCAAGCCAGGAGGGGTACGAGAAGCCCAGAGGCATTCATAAGCTGCCCCTTCAAGAGAACCTGAAATGAGGGCCAAGAAAAGAATTCAAGACAGTAATTACCAACCCCAAAGACTGTTTTATTTTACAACAATGTTGTAATTCACTGAACCCTCCAAACAACTCAGAGGTGGGGCCGTTATTCTCATTTCACACGTGATGAAACAGGCAAGAGATGTGGGGTCACTCATCTCACAACGGGCCCCAATCCAGGCCTTAGTTCTGTCTTCCCTGCATCTAAACCTGACAAGTGTGTGGGTTTCTCTCAGGCCTTAAAAAGCCCACTTTGTGCTGCTCTTTCCCCACTGCTAATTCTGCTCTCTGAGAGCAGTTCAGCACATTCAGTAGTGCTTCTAACAGGTGAAAGGAGGAGGGAGCAAGGGCCCCCCTTCCTCTGGGTTCTGTGAGGACCCTTGCAAGGGCGCCTCGGGTTCATGTGGGAAGAGAGGAGAGGAGGCAGCTAGTGCTCCCGTATGTACATCAGCGCTGGGGTCAAGAAGGCATCCGCAGGTGCATGCAGGCAGCTTTGCTACAGGCCGCAGAGAGTGACCCACTGAAGGAGACGCAGGGGTGGCAATTTCAGGAAAGCCCTGGGCTTTCTGGATGCAGAAGCAAATAGCAGCGCACAGTGAAAATCACCCCGAGCTTCCCTGCTGAGGATGGTACAAAAGGAAGCACAGCAGGTCTGAAAGTTTAGGCCTCCGCTAGTTGCAGACAAACCCAGACGACTCAAAAGTTAACCCATAAGCGTGTGTCCCACTAGGAGGGCTGCCTTCATTCGTCCTGGCCCTCCGCCTCCCACCTCCTTGCTGCCCTAACAGCTGTGCCAGAGGAGCCAGGATGACACTCACTCAGAAATCTCACTTCCCCAGGAACGCCTAGAGGGCACTTTCTGAAAGAGAAGCCCCGAGAAGCCCCCAAAGAACAATGAAAACCCAAGAGCTGTGCATACAGTTGGTAAGAATAAACACTTTCAGGGTCAGAAGGCAGTTCTCAATCCTTTACTCACACCCTCTGGGAGCTGCTTCCCCTGAACACTTGCACTGCTCTGTGTGAACAAAGGGAGGCACACCGCACACACTGAAAGGAACAATGACCAGGCCCCCCACGGAAATCAAATGAACAGAAGTGCTGGAGAGCTGTGACGTTCTCACTTAGTTTCAGTTCTAGGTGTGGGTCCCGCCTCCAACTGGCCACAGCCACCAGTTAATACTGTGTCCCCTCTCTCCTGTGCCCACTTTCTTCCTCCTCTTACATGTTTGCTGCCTTAATTAAATGGGGCATTTGGGAACTAAAAAGAGAAAAACTGTTTCAATTTTCTTTTAAAAAATGCATTGCCACCCACTTCCCAGGGGTGCTCAGTGCTTTGCGCTGAGTATGTCTACAGGCTTCATGGCTCACAGTGCAGGAGCCACTGGGATTAAAGCAGTCTTGAGTTTTTAAAATATATCTTTACATTTACTTTTATTTTTTTTAATTGGAGTACAGCTGATGTACAATATTATATTGGTTTCAAGTATGAAACAGTGACTCTTCATGAGCGGTCTTGATTTAATCCAGCACTGACAAGCAAGCATGAGGACCCTTAAAAACCAACTTATCACATTAACTTAGGACATTAAACCAGCACTTTCCCATCACAGGCCCCAGATTTACTTAAACATGTAGGCAAGTGGAATTCTTTTAGGACCCACAGAGCAGTTCTGGAGATGCATCTCAGCGAGGAGTGGCAGCAGTTAACTATCAAGACTCATTTCCTCATCGTTATCATGAAGGAATATTTATTAGGTGCCTGGGTTTGAATGTCACTTTATTCGTTGCTAACATGAAAATCATGGTCCCCATCCTTGATAAGATACTATGCCGAGGCTCACCACCAATCCTGTATTCAGAGGAACTCAAAGGCCATGAACATAGTCCAGCTGACAGAGACCATCAGAGCGCCACAGTCCCTGGAGCCCTTCTTCCTGGCAAGCCTGTTGGGTTTCTTCTTCAATGGCAGAAGCATTGGGCGTACACACAGTGCGTCAGTGGGGGCTGTGTGTGTATGGGAGCAAATGTAGTTAACAACAACCCAGGTGGGAAACCAGAAATACACCCACCATCTCCAGACAACAATTATTAAGTAACTAGGATGTTAGTTATTGAAGATAAGGATA